AAGAACTTTGTTGTGGAATAAAAGAGCACACCTGCACCTCTCTGAAAGGGAGAGTGCTGAAAGCCCAGGGATGTGTCTCCCAGAGCTTCCCCACCTTCCCTTTCAGGGATTAACTCCATGATTCACCCTGTGGTTTGAGAAGCGACCTTTGATGTCTGCCCCAGGCAGGGCCAGGAGCTGCACATGACCAAACCCACGGTGAAGGCAGGTTACTGCTCTGAAGCTGTCCCAGACATCCAGAAGGACCCTCTCTCACAGGGATTCCAACATCCAAGGCCATCCATGGCCACATGGGCAAAGGCTCCACACTCTCTGAAGCACTCTGGAAAAAATAGATGCCCTTTATTTCCCGCTGGCAAACTAAAATCATGGAGGAAAACTGTTTAATATAAAAACATCTGACAAAGCACCTCCAGGATGTATTTTTTTGCATCAAAGAAGTAGCTCTTGGCAACAGGCTCGTTCCTCCGACCAGGAGAAGTTTTAGCCAAACCCTGATTGTTCTAGACTGCACAGGGTGAGACAAGCCAGCAAGCTTACAGTTAAAAATGAAAGAGAAAAGAAACTAAAACCATCACTGGCCCAAATAAACATCTGTCTGTGATTAAACAGGATGCACAGAGATGTTCTGCCTGCTTTTTAATGGATCTGTTTCTGCAGGACGAGAGGAAGAAAGGCTGAAAAGGCTCCAGGGTTCTGCTGGGTCAGACCCAACCTGCAGCTCCCAGCCCACGGTGGGACACAGAGTCAATCCTCAAAAAGTAACAAAACCAACATTTACCCCCCCCCCCAGAAGAAATTGCTGCCCTATTAATGAGAAAAATCTCTTTTTTTTTCTCCTCCCAGGTAGTTCCACCATCTCTCCCCAGGCCGGAAAGGGCCGTGTTTGCCCAGTTGCCACACGTATCCGCCTGACATATTTAATAGGCTTTTTTTTTTTCCTACTCCCAACACACAGGATCTTCATAAATTTCCTTGGTAGCATAAATCCTGCAGCCTGTTATTTCTGGGGGGGAAGAGGAAGAGAGACGTTCACTTTCTCCATTCAGTGGGTTTTAAAATATGCTTCCTTAAGTTCATCCTAAATATTGCTGGAAGCAGAAAAAACCCTCTGGCTCTTGCTTGGAGCCGTGGCATCACTTCAGCAGGGCTGAGTCACCAGCTGGGATGGACAGGCATGTTCCTGCCTTCTTCCTCCCTCTGGAGGTACCCTGCTTCCTAAATCCAACACCCCCAATCCCACCACTGCCCTGTAAAATCTTCTCCATCTTCCCAGGCCTTGAAAAAAAAAATAAACAGAAATAATTTCAATATGTTCCAGCCCATTCAGTCTCTTTGTTTACAATTCACTTAAGAGTTGGACTCTATGATCCTTGTGGGTCCCTTCCAACTCAGAATATTCTGTAACTCGATTTCTTCTCTCTGTTAATTCCCAATTATCCTCCACCAGCATCAGACTAAGCCACCAAGCAGAGCTCATTGCCACATCATCCTCTGGACCTCAGCAGAGCTGCTGGGAATAGACTCAACCTGTGCTTCCACTTTCAGGTGGGAAACAACTTCCCACAGCTTCGGAATGTGGAGAGAATTCATTCCTCCTCCAACAAACCAACTCATCCTTTCTTCTTTTGGATGCACATTTTCAGCTATAAATGGGTTCACCAGCAGAGTTTTAGCACAGGGGAAGCGAAATGATTTCAAAGTTTAGGAAAAAAAATAATAGTATTTTTGGAAAAAATAAACCAGCACCTTCCCTGGTGATGGCCAAGGCAGGACAGAGACCTGCAGGAGGATCCCGAGCTGCAAGACCACCTTTTGCCCTCCTACCTGTGCTCAACCCTTCCCCTCCTGCACAGTCCTTGGGACTTCCAGAATTTAATGCCACCACTACCAAGAACTCTGGTGGCTGCTGGCAGGAATTCATGGGGCTTTTCCAGGTGCTGTGCAAGAGGAGAGGGGCTATTCCATGGTGTTTAAGAGAGGGTCCTTCCCAGGGATGGTGAGGGACAGCCCCGTGGGACTGAGGGGAAGGCAGGCAATCCCAAAGCCCACAACATCTGCTCCAGCACGTCCCCACCATCCCAAACCAGTTCCCGCAGCAGCAGCACATCCCTCTACAAGCCTGGCAAGTCTAACGGGTACAGCAGCTTCTTGGCATGTGCTGGAGGAGCCAAGTCTGAGGGGAAGGGAAAAAAAAAAAATTACTACAAATGTTCCACCAATTATGAGTCACGAGGCTGAGCTTTTGTTCCTGCCTTGCTGGATTTTGCCCTTTCCCTGGTATTTCCCCGGCTCCGGCTGGGAGCCGCGGGGACGCCAAAACGGGCCACGGGTCTGCCAGCTCCTGGGGGACAGGCACAGGGAACCACTTGGGTTAGGAATACAACCCCCAAAACAGCAGGTTTCCTTCAGCTCTGCTCCCCAGGCAGAAATAAATCTAATGAGGGAAAGCTGGAGCCCCTCTTTGTACTCTCACGGGCCTGAATGTGACACTGCTTGAGCTCAGGAGATGGAAACTTCGGGGTCAGACACCTCCAAGTGCCTTTTCCCAGCAACCCAGATCTTCCCAAGCCACTGCACCTCACTCAGGAAACAGGAGCATCCCTAATCCAAGGGAAATGCTGCGGCTGGACACTGATCCTTGAACACACAACTTCATTTCATGACCCAAATACTCTGAACCTCAGATGAAGAGGGCTCTGGGATATCATCCATAGATCCAGGTCACCACACAGGTCACATCCACCCAACTATCCACAACCTGTGCTTCCAGTCAGCACTGGCTGTTCCTCAGAATTTCATAGCAAGCCTGCTAGTTCACTGAAGACTTTTCCTCTTAAAAGTGTTATTATGACCATGAAAGGTTCTACTTCAAAAACAGTTTGGTTTTTTTATAAAATTTCTACATATGACAGAGATCATCTTTTGCCTTCATGGTAAAACTTCCTGTTTAGAAGTTCATCAAGTAAAGGACCAACAGAAGAAGAATGGTTCTCTTTGTTATCCAAAATTGAATTTTGTGGTTTTAGTAGGAAAAGCCTTTTTGATGATCAAAGCTGGAGCAATAAATAGTAGTGGCTTGATGCAAGATCCAAAATGTACTTATTTTTGGAAGAGGAGTTAAATGCACACCGAGCTCCTTTGGTACACGAGAGGAGGAAGGGAAGACCACGTGCTTTGTGTACCATTTCCATAGACCTACACTTCAAGCAGACCTATTAAATAAGTTGAAATGGAGAATAAACAAACTGAAACGTGGCAGGTAGACTGGAGCCTAAGTGGGTTTTTCCCTTTTACCTCCCTATGATGACACGTATGGGTTAATTCAGCAGAGCTCTTATCCTCTTTCAGCAATCGTGAGCACTGGGGAAAAATAAATCACCCAGTCCCAGACTCTTATTAAAAGTTACACCACTGGAAACGGCACAGGGGGAGCAGAGGGATCCGATTTCATACAATCTCAGTCACATGCTATCATTATATTGTTCAAGGAAAAGTTAAAAATCCCTCCTCTATTCCAGAAAACCCACCAGATGTCCCATAAAGACTCGGCCGTGAGAGAAGCTGAGCCATTCCATCCTCAGGAACCCCCCGTTCTCCAACCCGGCCGCTCTAATTAACGACAATTATCACGTTACGATAAAAGCCACGGGCACGGGGAGCCTTTACGGACGCGCTTCCAGCCCCGGGAATGTTTGTTAGGAATTGCAAGCACACATCTATTACGGCACAGGCCCGAACGATCCAAGGCCTGGCTATCAATTGTTCCCCTGCTATGGACACTTGGCAGCACAACAAAAGCCGGGCGGGCGGCACGGCTGGATCCGGCACGCGGCAGCACCGCCGGCCCACCACGGCTGGAGGACCTTAAAGGAGAAGGAGAAGGGAAAATCCCCGGAGGGAAACGTGCCACCACGCCACGGCACTGCTGCCTGAACGCTCTCTGGAGAGCTGCAGAGTCGGGATCGGCCTGAACGTCCCAAGGAAGGCGCAGGTCTCAACAAACTGTCCACAAGCTCTTGCAGGCGGAGAACACCAAGAGAAAAGCCACAGCTAAGGGACCAGTGCCCCAGTGGTCCCCTCCACCACCACCAACTTCCAGCATCCCCAGAGAGAGCAGCAAATTCAATCCATGTGCTCAGCAATCTGGCAATTGGGCACCGAGGTGCCCAATCCTACCCCACCACAGTTGCTGAAGGAGGCATGTGGGGCCCCACCAGGACCAAGGTTTGTCTTCCTTCATCTCAGCTCTCAGACCATTAACCAGCCAAAGAAATTAAACCTCATCCTGTAGACAGGCCCCTCCTATCTACTACATGGTCAGCCCCCTGCCTGGGATGAGACACCAAGGAGAAAAATGTGGAACCATCACTGCAGCCAGAGCCCAACGTGGAGGCAAGGAAAGCCCCAACTCTACCTGCTGTCAAGTAAAACCACCCCAGGCCTCACAGAGCCCCATTAAATGAATGAACGGTTGCAGGGGTGGGGCAGAGCAAAAACCAGGACCTAATTAAGCCAAGCTTTGTTCAGGAGCTTCAATGGTACCATAGCTGGGAGCCTGCTCATGAAAGCAGGGATTGCACCGCGGGGCCAGGGCCCAACAGGTAACACAAGCCGGACGGACTCGGCAAGAACCACCACAAGGCAGCATCATTTGGAATGGTCTCACTGCTCCTGCCATGGAAATGGGGAGGGTGTACAGCCCCACCCCACAGCAGCCCATGGCCCTGGAGCCTGGGAGAGGTCCAGGTGGCTTCCACAAAGGACACACGTGGCCACTTCCTAAACGTCCCCGCTCGTCCCACGAACGGCACCTTATCACAACCCGCAGAGCGCTGGAGTCTCTGAACAACCAACTCAAGTAACTGCTCTCTTCTCCCTCCCTTTCACACCAAGACCACAAAACCAACAGCAGGACCATACCCCCCACACCCTCCTGCTGTGCTGCCCCAGCTCCCAGCTCAGACCACACGGGCGGGAAGGCGCAAACATCTGCCAACCTGAGAAATCTCCGGGCGTGACGTTGGGCGAGTTTGTAGCCTCTGTTTCAGTGTAAGACAACGTGGAATCTGATAGATCTGGAAAAAAAAAAAAAAGCACTTTTAGTCCTCCTGTGTTTGCCAGGGCTACATGAGCACCAGTGGGTCTCCAGCTTCCCACCACCTCCCCGAGAGAAACTCTCCAGCGAGCCAGAAAGCAACGATTAACTTTGTAGCTCCACCACGCAAATGCAAACTCTGAACTGCCTCCACCACAAAAATAACTCCAGTTAAGTTGATCAAACAAGTAGGAACTTGGTGCTTACTGGATAAAGTTACATTAAGCCTCTAAACAAGTCAGAGTTACTATACTTAATTATCACCATTAAAATTCTTGAAGCTGTTTATTCTTGCTTCCTTCCTTCCTTCCTCTTTGCTGAAGCGAAGGAAACTTTGTTTTAACAAGTTAAGAGTCTTTGTTATTCTCTCTTGCTTACACCCCTCTAATTAAGTGCTCAACTGTTTGCTCACAGATTAACTATTATTTTTCCAATCAAACAAGCCAGTGAAGCAAATTTCAATCCCTGGCTGTTGTTTTAATAAAGTCACGTGCTGCCCACTATCATCTCTCCCTGCAGCACAAGCAGTTTCCAGAGGGAATTTACTTGGAAGGGGGAGCGCAGGGAGGGACAACTTCTTTTTTTTTTTTTTTTGCCTCCACACCTAACAAAAATAGGAAAAAAAAAATCCCACAAGCAGCCAGTTTGGCTTTGCAGGACACCCAGGTCACGGCCCTGTGGTGATGAAGGCACCAGTCCCTCCGACAGGCACGGTGCCCATGTGGCTGCACCGCAGGGAGACGCCGGGGCAGGGACTCACCTTTGGCACAGGACGGCTCCCGCCTTCCCTCGGGGCTGGGTGGGACAGGCAGGAACACTGTCCCATTCCTATCACCCTGCCAAACCCTGTCTGCCTCCTCCCTGATGGGGAGCAAGAGTGGCTCACCTGGGTCACTACGCCCAGGAGTCAGAGGCACCGGCCACAGATGAAGGGAGAAATCCCACAGCTGCACTGATCCCAGCAAAAAACCCACATGGGACAGGGCATTACTCCCTTCTTTCCCACATCTTTGCTTCCCATTTAACTGAGCAAGCAGCAGGCACTGAGAAAGATGGGTAGGATGCGGCAATGCCAACTTGAAACATCTCCAAGCCAACGTCCGGCACATAGGACCAGGATCCAAAGGCTGCCAGGCTCCCCAGCACCCTTCACTCTGTCCCCAGGTACCCACCCCAGCCACTTTCACTACCTTTGCTTTGAAAACCTCCCACAATTCACCAGGAAAAGTCATACCCCACTCAGAAATTACACGGTGCTGACTTTCAAAGGCTTTACATCTCATTGTAATGAGCAGAGGAAAGGTAAGAGCTGGTTCCTCCAAGGTGCAGAGCAGCCAGGACTTTATGGAAATGGCACCCAGGAGCTCCCACTCCCCCTCTGCTCCATCATCCCACAGATTACACACGCAGACAAAACATGACGTCTGGTAACCTTTCATTACGCCTTCATTAAAAATAGAGCTTCATATTATTTTGGAAAATATGCATGTGTCTACATGGTAATTTGGGAGGATAAACTGACATCCATTTACTTCTTAAAGCCTGTCAGGTGATGCTTGCTCAGAAATAATGAGGAGCCATAAAATCCCAACTTGTTGGCTTTTGCCTGACGTGCCAGGGAGGGCTGTCTCAGAACCAACACCGGGACTGCACCATGAAAGAGTTCTTGGGACATCAAAAGAGGGAAAACACGTACCCAGTGGCTTTTGCTCATCATTAGGAGACAGCCGAGAGTAGGGAGGTGGTGGAGACTCTGGAAAAACAAAACTGTAGGTTAGTGCTGTGTTCAGTTAATCAACAAACCCTCCCGCTTTCTCTTCTGGGGTAGGAACTCTCCCAAGGTTTAAAAAAAACACTTGGAAGCAACTGGAGACCAAGAGTTTTCCCAATTTTTGAGGAATGGAGGGTTCCACCTTGACCATTCAAACTGGGCTTTACTACTGAAAATGCTCCAAGTGTCCCCTACACCCCTGTCCCACATCCATGCCTGGACACCCAGTTTGAACCACACAAATCATGACGGTGCTTCCCAAAGAACAAGGTTTCCATCAACTGCCTTGGGAGACAACCTTCCAACCATGGCTCCAACACACATGGACTTAACAAGAGCTCCCCAAACACACAACTACTGAAAGAGGGTGTTGGGTGATGAAAAGATGCTCCTCTCTTGGCCCATGAAGGCTGACACCAGAGCCAGGCTGGCTTCAGCCAATAAGCCACCAAATTCTGGTCCCTCCCAATAAAGCCCTCGGCACACAAGTGGCTCAGCAGCAGATCCATGATCCTGCTCACCCCCACCTCCATCCCACAAAGCTCCTGAGCACACGCTCAGCTATAGGCAGCAGGACTGCAGCAGTCATGTGCTCCAAGTTCAGCAAGTCCTCAGAAGTGCTTTGCTGAATCAGGTCATTCAACTGGCTCTTGCTGTCCTTGTAAGGGTCAAGACCATGCAAAAGGCTGATGAAGGCCCTTCATTACTCCATGTCCTCATTAGGTTTTTTTTTCTTTTCCACAATACGACAATGATCTGTTTCTCGAATTATAACTTGGCAAAACTGAGCGTGCAGCCAGCTGGGCTAAGCCATGGCACCAGCACTGAGCAGGCACCAACTTCAGTAAGAAATTGTACTGAAAATCAGTGGCAATACATTAACCCCAGACACCCAAAACACGAGTGTGCTCCTCAGCTCCCACCCTGATCTGAAAGCACTTGGCCAACAACTGCAGCTCAGCTTGGGTGAGTTCAAAGAGAACCTCAGCGTTCCCCATGGGATGGCTTTGGGGTCATCTACTGCTTGTAACGAAAGGTTCCCCATCTCCCCTAACGGAGCAGGATGCTCTTCTCACAGGGGGCTTAAGAGTCTCAAAAATAAAAAATAATGGTGCCACAGCCCCCATGTGGATGTACCAGCCCGACCTGTATCGTGCTGGTCCCAGTTGCTGCCACGGGGGCCTTCTTCAGAGCACCTCGCTGCCTTCACACCCCCCAGCTACGTCACCCCACAGCAAACCGGGTGGGAAACACGAACGCGGATGATCCCTGCAGGGAGCCACTTGTGGAAAAGGGCATCAGGGCCTTTTCTTGGCTCCTGCCTCCAGCGCCCAGCCGGCGCGGGTGGGGCCTGGCACAGTCACCCATTATCAAAGCGATAAGGGGCCGCTTGATAACAGCTCTGCTTTCTACTACTCCCAGCACAGGGCTGGCAGCCGCACACGGCTGGGAAAACCACCGCGGCTGCAGCAAAGTCACTGGGAAACTTCGCTCGTTTCTAAAATAAACGCCCCGTTCTTACAAACGCAACTCTAATCCAACTGGAGTAAAAAAGTTGCCTCCAGCCTCTAGCGACCTTCGGGGGAAGCACGCCCAGCAGAGAAGTTTCTTTGAAAGAAATGATGCAAAGCACAAAGTGAGGCGGGAGCCCAGACTGCAAAATAAGACAGAAAATCCAAGTTCTTGCCAAAAAAAGAGACCATCAGCATCAGAGCGGTTTGGGTTAGGGTTGGAAGGGACCTTAAAGATCATCCAGTTCCACCCCCTGCCATGGGCAGGGACACCTTCCACTAGCCCAGGTTGCTCCAAGCCCCATCCAGCCTGGCCTTGGACACTTCCAGGGATGGGGCAGCCACAGCTTCTCTGGGCAACCTGTGCCAGGGCCTGCCCACCCTCCCAGGGAAGACTTTCTTCCTAAGATCCCACTCAATGCTACCCTCTGTCAGCACGAATCCAACTGTCCAGTTCTGTCGCAGAGTTTTAGTCCAGCGCTGTAAGTATCACTTCGATTTCTGCACCTCAACCATGAGCACGCCTCTGCTCCATTTAACTGCTCCCAGCTCACATGGAAACTCCCATCGTGCGCTGGGAGAAACACAAAACCCTCGAGAAAACCAAACGCACTCCTTGAAAACGCTCACAATCTGCCTACGCTAAAAAAAAAAACCGAGAAACCCCCGAGAAATGCAGGAGTCCTGGTTCCCCCGCGGGTTGGGGGATCCCCGCGGCGGGGGCATCCCCGCAGCCCCCCCCGAGGCGCCCGGCGGGTCCTGCGGCTTTAAGCCGGCGGCGGTGACCGCCCGGCTCCGATACGGGCGAGCCAGGCTGGCGCCAGCGGGATGGAGCCGCCGATTATCGCCCCTCCGGCTCCCAGAGCGCGGGGAAACTCCGCGGGAAGAGAAAAAAAAAAAAAAAAGGAAATAAAAAGAGAAAGGGCTTTTTACGCACAACTGGAACCGCTGGCGGCAGGGGAGCGGGGGATGCCCGGCGGGGACCCCGCGCCAGGCGCATCTCCCCCCGGGCATCCCGCGGGGCCGGGGCAGCGCTGATCCACGAGGGTTCGGATAAGCCCAGGAAGGGCCCAGAAGCCCCGAACCCCCAAATCGGTGGGTGTTTTCGGGGGGTAAACCCAACTCGCCGCTGCTCACCTGGCCCACAGAGGCGGCTGAAGTGGTAGGGGTTGCAGCAGACGGTGGGTCCGTCGGCGACGCCGAAGCTCTGGCACTCGCAGAGGGGCTTCAGCTCGGCGGGGTGCTGCAGGTCGGGCCAGCGGAACAGCTTGCCCAGGAGGAGGTGCGGGGGCGCCGCCAGGCCCCCCAGGCGCACCTCGGTGCGGGCCACCAGGACGCAGCCTCCGGGCATCCCCCCGCGGGACTCCACCGCCTCCAGCAGGCTGTCCAGCGAGCGCTCCTTCAGCCGCTTCAGCAGCGAGTAGGTGACGGCCTTCAGCTCCTGCTCCAGCAGCAGGAGCCGCGCCCGCGCCTCCCGGCCTCGCCGCTCCGGGGAGCCGCCGTCGGCCGCGCCGTCGGGGCCGGAGGGGGCGGCGGCGGCGGCGGGGGGTGGCTGGGGGCCGCCCGGCTCTCGCTCCGAGAACAGGCAGCAGGTCACGGTCCGGCCGTCGCTCTCCGGGGCCCCGGCGGGGTTGCGGAGCCGGGCCCCGCGCCGCTCCGCCATGGGGTCCCCCCCGCGCGGCGCCGCCTCGCCCCGCTCCTCCGCCTCCCGCAGCAGCAGCGAGCGCGCTACCGAGGGGCTCCTCTCCGCGATCTTGCAGCTCCCGCCGGCTCCGAGGTCGTGGTGGCCCGAGCTCCTGGCGCTCCCATCTCCGCCGTCCCTGTCCGGAATGACGCGGCTCCTCCAAAGTCGCCGCACCAGCCCTGAGCGTTTGGACCTGAACATACGACCCGCGGGCGGCCGGGGGGTCGCGTCGCTCTCCGCCGCTTCCCCCCCGCCCCGCGCCCTCCTCCGCGGGGCTCCTCGCTCCGCCGCCGGCTCTATCTCATGGCAGCCCCGGCGCAGCCCGGAGTCCCCGCGGCGCTGCCCAGCGGCTCTCGGAGCGCACCATGGGGGGGGCGGCGGGGCGGCGCGGGCATAGACGGCGCCGCGGGGGCCGCTCCCGTGGCGGCGCTGGGGCTCGGGCGCGCCGCGCCGTGCCCTACATCGGCTGCCAACGCCGGGCCGGGCGGGGAGCGGCGGCGGCGGCGGCCGGGGGGAGCCCGGGGCAACCCCGCGGCCGCTCCACCGTACGAGGTCGCGGGGTGTGGGTGCTGCCCGGCGCCGGGGTTTTCCCCCTTCGGCCAAAAATAGTTAAAAAGAAAAAAAATATAGAGAAAAAAAATTGGGGAAAAAAAAAAGAAGGACAAAGAAAAAAACCAAACTAGGAAGAAAAAAACGAGGAAGAAAAAAAAAATAATTAAAAAGACTAAAAAAATAGCAAAGAAATAAAAAAAATTAGTAAAGAAATAGTAAAAAAAATATAGTGAAAAAAGGCAAAAAATAATAGCGAAAAAATAAAAAAAAATTAGTAAAGAAATAGTAAAAAAAATATAGTGAAAAAAGGCAAAAAATAATAGCGAAAAAATTAAAAAAAAAGGGGGGGGGGAGGAAATACACCCGAAGAAATAAATCAGACACGCGAAGAATCAGCAGCAGCAGCAGCAGCAGCAGCAGAACAGCCCGGTGTCAGCGCGTCCCTCGTCCGCATCGCAGGGCGCGGCCCCGGCCCGGCGGGTCCGTGCGCGGCTCCCGGGGCCGCCGCCGCCCGCTCGCGCCCGCCCGCCCCTCGCCGGCTTTTGTGTGGCCGGGGCGCGCGCGCGGGGCCCCCTCGCGAGCGGCGCCGCCATTGGCTGCCGCCCCATCATGTGCCAGTCTAGACAGCGCGGCGGCCCCGAGCGCCACCGGCCCCGCGCGCGCCCCGCCCCGGCCCCGCCGCGCCTTAAAGGCACCGCGCGCCCCGCGGCATCGCCCGCCGCCCCCCGCGCCGACCCGCGCAACGCACCCGCGCGCCCGCCCGCGCACGCCGCTCCCCGGGCGCCTTCCGAGCGCAGCCCCGCGGGGACGCGGCGGCGGCGGCGGCGGGTGGGAATGTGACGAGGGAAAATAGGTCACGGCGCGGTGGGGGTTAATGGCGGTCACGGCTCGTCCCCCCCCCCCCGCCGGACACGCCCCCGCCGTGCGGCGCCTTGGCGGCCCTGCCAAAAGTTCAGGCCCGCCGCGCCCCCATTGGCCCGCGCCCGCGTGACGCTCGGCGCCGCGCGCCGCCCATTGGTGGAGGCGCGGGGGAGGCCCCGCCCCCTTCTCCCACCCCGCAGTGCCCGTGAATGGAGCGGCGCGCGCGGGGTCCGCGGGGACGGGACGGGGGGACAGGGGGATAGCGGGGGGATAACGGGGGGATAACGGGGGGCAAAAGGGACGGGAGCGGCGGCTCCGTGGCGGGGGGAACCCCCCTTCACGCGGCCACGGCGAGAGATGCCCGTGGGAAGCGCAGTGTGAGCGTGGTACCCCCCCAAACATCCTCCGGGTGGGACCCTCCCCTAAACACCACCACCCCCCCCCAGCAACCCCCCGACAATATAAAACAAATTAAATACCTAAATCAGCGATTCCCACCCAGCCTGAGTACTTCACTCACAGGCAAAAATAAATCTGGGTAGTTAATTCTCCATCGGTTAAAGGAAAAACACCCCAAAACCAAACCAATAAAATCATTTCAACCAACAAATCCTGGACAACCTGAATGGCCAGGGAAAATTTTCTCTTGGAGTCTTTGAGTGGCTTTTTCCATCCTTGAAGGCTTCTGTCCAAATTTCTGTCACATTTCCCCAAACCTGCCCTAATACACCCAAGAACATAATTTAAATATGGATAAAAACAGTACTTTTTTTTTAATGGAAAACTTAATCAGTGTAACATTAGGGATCTCCAAATACTCCATTTAGAATCAATACTGTGTGCCACTGAGGTTTGCACCAACATAATTGCAGTATGACATAGGCCTTATGACTTTGGGGTCACTTCTGCCCCTTCTGACCTTTTAGGACCAGGGGCAAAGCTCCTTTTTCCCTGCCATTTTTGGGTGAGTTTGAGGAAATGTGTTGTTTGCCTGGTTAAAAATGTCAAAAATCATGTCAAACCTGTAAGGGACCTGCTGCCTCTGCCATTAGGTTCCAAACTGCTCTGGCCAAGGGATTGATGGTCCATCCAGCACTGTCCTCCTCCAATGGGCTCCTGCCTTGAGGAGGAAACAACTGTGAGTAAACCCAGATGATGCTATTTTTGGGCACTGACCCACTTTATGTGGGAATCCTGTCCCGGGGGGGTCAGACCCAGCACTCACCCACCCCCAGAGCAGCCACATTCCACACCTGGAGCACGGTTTGGAGCCCCTGACAGAGGTCACCCAACATCCCACCGGGCTGGGGAAATGCCTTTTTTCATGTCCAGGAATAAAACCAAGTGAAAAGGCACAAAACAGCTGCAAAGAAAATCCAGCTGCAGACATGGAAGCAGAAACTGGGATTTCCTGGATCTCATGGAATCACAGAATAGTTTAATCTGGAAGGGACGTTAAAGCCCATCTCATTCCACCCCCTGGGGTGGACAGGGACACCTTCCACTATCCCAGGTTGCTCCAAGCTCCATCCAACCTGCCTTGGACACTTCCAGGGGTGGATCTTGGACCCAGACAGGATCCCTGCCCATCCTGAGGCTGCTCCAGAGAGGTTCCAACACTTGTTTAAAATCCACATTGACCTCCCTGTCCTGCATGACCCCAAGATTCACCTCCCTAAACGCAGCTGATGCTTTTCTTCCCAACGTTGTCTTTACAAACTGTCATCCAAATTATAAGATGCCACCAATGTGCAATTGCCAGCATTTAAATATATATAAATCTTAAATATAGCGCTGCTTAAACCAAGGACAGGGTATTATTTCAGCAAGCAGCGTCTTACTGCTTATCCAACGCTATATAATCATGGATGTGCACTATGGCAGGAAGAACAATGGAGCTTTCATGGGATCTGGAGCAGCCCAGCATCTCCAGGGGCACAGGTATGTGATGGAGTCCCCATTCCACCAGGAGTGCCATCCATCCCGGCTCCTGCAACAACAGCACATTGTTCCCTGCTCTGATGTGGGCAAGAAAAACAGAGCCCTCAATTGTGCTTGTCACAATGCACATATAATTTATAGTAATGTTGGTTATTAAAGGATTTCTAGTGATTAACAGCAATGTGCTCTTTCACTGCCTTCCCCCCCCCTTTTTTTTTTTTCCCTGCCTGTCATAATAACAAACATTCCTGGGAGATGCTCTGGAACACATCCTATAGGTCTTGGCAGAAAAGCTGAAGAGAAGCTTTTGAAAGCCTGCCAGTCTTATCTGACATGAATCTCCCAGGTACTATAGGAAGCCAAATCCTCCTGGGTCCAGGAGGACTGTGGGTGGTCAGGAGGGCACTGGAGCCTCTTCCCAAAGCCAAACTGCAGCCAGGACTGGGGGAAAAAAGGACCAGCCCTGCCACTGTGTCCACACCAGCACCCTCAGCACCATCAGCAGAGCCCAAACCTGCAGGCACAGACTGGGGGTGCTCCAGGTTTTCAGGAAGGAAAATCAATTTCATCATTTTCTGTCCTTTTTTTTTTAATCTCTAGTATTTTGTATATTTCTGGTCAAAAAGAAGGATGCAGGGGTCAAAATATAAAATTAAATCACGAATAAATGAAGCATAATATTTTCACAAAACGAATAATTGCCACTTATATAATGTTGCAACAGCTTGATTTATAGGTTATTTTAGTGACTCAGAAATGGGGTGGAGAAATGGACCCCCCCTGTTGCCTCAATGCCAAGGGGTGGTGGAGGCTGGGGGGACAAACTGCACCCCCATGTCACTGCCAGGGAACAGGAGCACGGGGTGTCTGAGCCCAGCCAGAGAAACCACCACAAAACTGCTGTGCCACAACTGCCAAAAACTAAAACGCCTCATAAAATCAGGCTGGCTTTGCTGGCAGCTGATTTTGAAAGGAACCAGGGGGAAAAAAAAGTTTTGACAACATCAGAATGTCCCGTTTCCTTTGTTTTGATGACATTGCCACGATTTTCCAGTTCAAACCAACTTTGCATTTTACTCTTGCAAATGTTACACTCTGTGCAGTAACACACTGTGATGGGAGCTTGGACCCTCTTCAAAATGGAAAAAGCTAAAATCAGAACAAGGCTTTTTGATAAATCCAAAGTTTAGGAAAAAAAAAGAAAAAAAAAAAAGATGTTTGAAGCATTTTCCTCCACGGAGAATTTCCCAAGTGCTGGATTCCACATCCCCAGACCTCCCTGGCATCTTGAAACCCTTCCTGCAGGGGGTGTGATCTCACCCTGCACCTCGGCACGTGCCCCCATCCTGGGCGAGCTGTGGCCGTGGCAAAGCCCATCCCGGTGGGTGCAGCCACTCTGTGCCACCTCTCCTGGGATGTAGAATCACAAACCAGTTTGGGCTGGAAGAGACCTTAAAGGTTATGGAGTTCCACCCCCTGCCACGGGCAGGGACACCTTCCACTGTCCCAGGTTGCTCCAACCTGGCCTTGGACACTGCCAGGGATCCAGGGGCAGCCACAGCTTCTCTGGGCAACCTGTGCCAGGGCCTGCCCACCCTCACAGCCAACAATTCCCTCCCAGTATCCCATCTCTCCCTGCCCTCTGGCAGTGGGAAGCCACTCCCTGTGTCCTGTCCCTCCATCCCTTGTCCCCAGTCCCTCTCCAGCTCTCCTGGAGCCCCTTTAGGCCCTGGAGGGGGCTCTCAGGTCTCCCTGGATCCTTCTCTTCTCCAGGTGAACATTCCCAGCTCTCCCAGCCTGGCTCCAGAGCAGAGGGGCAGCATCACACCCACCCTTGGATCTGCCTGGGGCATCCCTGACGTGTGACACCATGGCCACTGTGGCATGGGCAGCTGCTGGCAGGGCTGGGAGCATCCACGTGGCTTCTGCTGCATTCCCAGCGGGAGCAGAGCCGCAGGTCTTCTCCCGGACAACCTGGGACATCTCTTGCCTTGCCAGGAGATGCCCATTTTGCTGCCTTTAAATCCCAGCCCAGTGATTAGTTTTGCAGTGGCACCACGGCAGGTGCTGCATTTGCTGCCCATGGACCTCGGGGGGTGAATCGGGGCCACAGCAGCCAAACTGCTCAGGGATGAGTTGAAAGGAAGTATCCTCCAAAACTGATCAGAATCAGGACGAAGGAAAAAAGAGACAAAATCCAACAGAAATTCACCAAATGCCTCATTTCACCAGGAATTAAAGTTAATGGGTTAATGGAAACTCCACAAGGCAGGAGCTGCTGAGTTTCCAGGCTTTTCA